TGCCGGCACCTGTGGCCTAGGGAGAAACACAGCAGGTATTACGGAGATTCCGTTGCAGGGGATTCATGAAAAGACCACTTAGTTAAGCGAGCAGACTCTTTATTGAGCTCATTCTTTGATCTATTTGATTTCAGGTGGTTTGGTTTAAGGGGACCCCAAGTAAGGAACATACTCCAAACTCTTGGTATTATCTTCCCCAACATCATAATAACAGTCTCCTGGCACGCTGCATTCTCTCAAAGGTTTTGGAGACAGAGTCTCACTCTGTCACCCACGCTGGAGTGCAGTGGCGCGATGTCTGCTCACCACAACCTCCGCCTCCTGGGTTCACGTGATTCTCCTGCCTCAGCCTCCCGAGTAGCTGGGATTACAGGTGTGCACCACCATGACCTGCTAATTTTTGTCTTTTTAGTAGAGACGGGGTTTCACCATGTTGGCCAGGCTGGTCTCGAGCTCCTGACATCGTGATCCACCCACCTCGGCCTCCCAAAGTGCTGTGATTACAGACGTGAGCCACCACGCCCGGCCCTCTCAAATGTTTTAAATGTTTGCATGCAGCCATCTCTAGAACGCCAAATGACCTCTCTTTAACTGGAATGACACAAGCTGTGCGACCATGAGGACACTGTAACTTATGAATGACATGCCGAGACCAAAAACCCAAAATGGGCCGGGCGCAGTGGCTCACGCCTGTAATCCCAGCACTTTGGGAGGCAGAGGCGGGCGGATCACAAGGTCAATAGGTCGAGACCAGCCTGGCCAACATGGTGAAACCCTGTCTCTACTAAAAAAATAAAAAATTAGCTGGGCACGGTGGCGTGCACCTGTAGTCCCTGCTACTCGGGAGGCTGAGGCAGGAGAATTGCTTGAACCCGGGAGGCGGAGGTTGCAGCGAGCTGAGATTGTGCCACTGCACTCCAGCCTGGCGCCTGGTGACAACAAAACAAGACTCTGTCTCAAAAACAAAACAAAACAAAAAAAACAACCAAAATGATGGTAACTGAGAGTGGCGCGAATGCCCTAAGTTTTGGTCACACTCTCACCTAAATGAGAACCTGGACAAAAAGGGGGATGTATTCGAACAGAATTATGGGAGGCCATTGTTTTAGATTGAGCTCATGCACTAGTCCCAACGACTAAGCTAAACAAAAATGGACTCGCTCGTGCTAAATGTGACATAAGCGAACTGACTTTAAGGACACACGTAGATCCTAGGCCAGAACAAGCTAGGTTTTGCTTTTCTCCTGTAAACACGATGTTCAGCGTAAGGAGGGACCCTCTACTCAGTCCTTGTTCCTACCTTTGCCAAACTCACTGTTCTACTGTTCTCAGTGGGTTTCAAGACCAAATAAGCACGTTTACGACGGTGATAGTTGTAAGGGTGGCCCAGAGAACGGAGAATAGACCCAAAGCAGGCAAGAAAGTTTTATTAACCTGCTGGGCTGCCCACAACAGAGGAGGCAGCCCTGAGCTTACCAAATGAGGGGTTTATATGGGGTGAGAGGAGCATCATCTATCCACTGGTAACAGGCACACAGATAGTTTGTTAACTTGTAACAGACCTACAATACATCATCCTGTGACTTCCATGGTGGCAGTCTTTTTAAAAAAGAGAGAAACCAGGAGTGTTTTACAGATCTGTGTCAAACAGGAATTTACAAGTATGGATAACCAGTATGTTCTCCCTGTCCTCCCTCCAGCTGCCCGGATGGCTGTAATGAGGCTTTGCTTAATTGAAGCACGTGGGGCAGCCTTGCTGTGGCGTCTAGGTAGGGGTTCAGGAATGCAGCTGCAGAGCAATCAGAGCGGGGGAAGGAGTTAGCCTGTGCAGCTTGTCCCTAACAATAGTGACACCAATGACTAAAGTTTTGGTCAATCTCTCAAAATTGAGAAAATGACCAAAAGAAGGGAACTGTTAAAGCAAACTAAATATGGCCTGAGAAGGACTCTGCACTGCGGTGTTCGAGTCCTTGTGGACAAGCTGCAACCTAACTTAGTGGGTGGACAAGATTGAAGCCCTAACTGAGGAGTGTGCACCTGCAATGGTGGCAGAGTCGTGGCCAATCCCAGAGCCACGCTTCCCTCATACACTGCCGAGTGCTCAGACTGTGTCCAAATAAGGCAAACACCAAGCTGCGACCAACCTGTTTCCATACCTCGCCTCCGGTTTCTGTACGTCCCTTCCCCTTTTTTTGGCTACAAATTTGTTCTGACCACAAGGTATCCCTGGAGTCTCTCTGAATCCGTTGTGATTCGGGGGTCTGCCCATCTCATGAATCGTTCATTACTCAATTGAACTCCTTTAAATTTAATTTGGCTGAAGTTTTTCTTTTAACAGAGGTATAAAATGTGTATTCTTGAAAATGTTCACACTGTTTTAGCGTCTATTGTGCTTTATTTGATAAAAATACTTTTTATAACGTTGTAACAGGATTTGCTGTTGTAGGGTTCACGGATGGCCCTAAGGAGGGACTTTTCCGTGCCCAGCTTGGGCTCCGGGCTCAGGTTCTTGGCTTTACTTGCTCGAAGAATCGAGCAGAGAGCTTACCCCCATGGTGAGTGTTCCGGCTCCAAACAAGCATTTGCGGACCGGGAGAGTGAGCAGTAGTGCAGTTTACGGAGCAAGCGGAGTCAAAGCTTGGCAGGGCGGAAGGGGCCCGAGAGGGTTGCCTTGCTGGCCAGGGCTGCCTGGGCTTCTATCCCCAAGAAATGCTGAGCTGCTGAGTGTTTGCCCCCAGTCGTGTGTGGGGAGAGGGCTTGTAATTTTCCGTTTCTGGTCGTTTCCTGGTTTCTATTGATCTTGCAAGCAGTATTGGAATGTGGCTGAACAGCAACTGATACTTTGAGCACAGGCTCCCGATATGGGTGAAGTACCTATGTCGACCTTCTCCCATGCTGGGGTTTCCAAAAGGTTCCCCATTGACCCAAAAAGTTTTATTCCCTCAACATGATGTTTACTTTTACCTTTAGATACATAATAAGACCCTAAAACCCCTGCCAACTGAACAGACCCCTTCATGGTCTAGGGGACCCCAGAGAAGCCCTAAAACCTGAGTTCCTGGCCATGATGGGACAGAAGGTCAGACCCGCCTCAGTACGCCCCGTCCTCAGTAACTTTTCACTGGAATGCTTTCCTAAAGAACACACAGAAGCCAGCTCTGGAAAACAAGAAACGGACAACTCATTCTTCTCTCGCCGTTAGCCGGTCGTCTGAGGCACGGCGGGGCGATGCTTCCCTTCCCAGTGAGAGAGCGGACCCTGGAGTGGCTGTGGCCGTCTACAGAGGAGGTGCAGTGAGGTTTTTTGTGCCCTCTATTTCACCATTTGACGTCAGAGGGAGGAAAACTCCACCCTCAGACCACGCTAACCCCAATATTTTTTGAACATGCGACCCACGAAGAGGCACGAAGCTCAGTTGCACACCTGCATGTTGCTCCTTTCACAGACATTCAGAACTCCTCCCATAGCTCATTGCAGACGTATATTTACCACCCCGAGGCTATAGGGGAAAGCACAGCGTCCTTTTCCTCTTCTCTCAAGAATCAACACAGAATACTTCTCCCCACCAACAAGCAGCAATCAGTTCTGCAGCGGACACCAGCTGGCGTCCTCTCCTTCGAGTCTGACAGCGGCATCTGAGCACACAGACGGACGACTCAGCCTCCCAACCTGACCCGCACTTCCGATGCCGACTGCGTGCCCTGGTTATTTTGCCTGTGATTCTGACTGACCTGCTAAACTGGGGCTCCCACAGCCCCTCCTTGGGTTGAATTAATTTGCTAGATCAGCTTACAGAACTCAGAGAAACACATTTACTGGTTTATTACAAGGCATATTTTAAAGGACACAGAACAGCAGCCAGATGAGGAGATGCATGGGGAGCATTCTGGAAGGGTCCCAAGCACAAGAGCTTCTGTCCCCACAGTGAAGGTACGCTACCCTCTAGGAACCTCCGTGTTACCAGAACCTGTCCCCTGGGTTTCTGTGGAGGCTTCATCATATAGGCATGGTTTAATCATTAGCCATTGGGGATCAGCTTTACCATCAGCCCCTGTCCCTTCCCAGAGGTCAAGGGCAGGGCTGAATACCAACCTTCTAACCCTGCCTTCTGCTTTCTGGTGACCAGCCCCCTTCCTACCCTGAACCTGTCTAAGAGCCCCCAGACGCCTCATTAACATACAAAAAAGACATTCATCACTTTGAAGATTCCAAGGATTTGGGGAAATATATGTCAGGAGACTGAACAAAAATCAAATATAATTTCACAATATCATGATGACTGAAATAAGTAATAAAGAATTAAGCAGGTCAAGTGCAGTGGCTCATACCTGTAATCCTTTGGGAGGTTGAGGTGGGCAGATCACTTAAGGCCAGGAGGTTGAGACCAGCCTGGTCAACCAGCTACTTAAAAACAATTAGCTGGATGTGGTGGCGCCTGTAGTCCCAGCCACTTGGGAAGCTGAGGCATGAGAATCAAATGAATGCAGAAGGCAGAGGTTGCAGTGAGCCAAGATCGTGCCACTGTATTCCAGCTTGGGCAACAGAGCAAGACTCTCAAAAAAAATTTAAAAAATTAAGCAGCCAAATGACATGGAAAGAAATAAATTACTATATTAGTTATATAAATATCAAACAAAGTGTTGATAGGGATTGCCTTTGGACAACAGCTGGTATTAAAGATGAATTTTTCTTTTTTATTAATTATTATTATTTTTTGAGACCGAGTTTCACTCCTGTTGCCCAGGCCAGAGTGCAATGGCGCCATCTCAGCTCACCGCAACCTCCACCTCCCGGGTTCAAGTGATTCTCCTGCCTCCGTCTCCCAAGTAGCTGGGACTACAGGTGCCCGCCACCACGCCTGACTGATTTTTGTACTTTTAGTAGGGATGGGGTTTCACTGTGTCGGCCAGGCTGGTCTCGAACTCCTGACCTCATGATCCGCTTCTGCCTCCCAAAGTGCTGGGATTACAGGCGTGAGCCCCGCGCCTGGCCTCCTTTTTTAAAATATATTTTGATATGGAAATGTGTGCATCACCCTTGCGTAGGGGCTACGCTAATCTCTGTATCATTCTGGTTTTAGTATGCATGCTGCCAAAGCAAGCACTAATGTTCTTAATTTCAAAATTCTCTTTAATACATATATGCTTGCTTATAAACAGAAAGAGAAAAAAGCTATGTTCAACACATTAATTGAACAAGTTACCAAACGGTCTGTGTACAAATCCTGGCCTGGGTTTGTTATTTCTAAATCTCAGTCAAAGATTTCACTTGGGCAAGGAGAAATTTAACTCAGACTAGCTTAAGCAAACAAAGAAACAAAAAAGGACTTTATTAGTTCCATAGCTCCGAGCCCAGGCTACGAACGACACCCTTCGGCCCTAGCCCCTGCGGCCCTGGCCAGGCTCACCTGTCCGGTCTGGTTTCCTCCTCAGTCACGTGGAGCGTGCAGGCAAGATGGAGGTGGTGCTATGGGAAAGGAGTCCCAATCCAGACCCCAAAAGAGGGTACTTGGATCTCGCTCAAGAAGGAATTCGAGGCAACTCCATAAAGGGAAAGCAAGTTTATTAGGAAAGTAAAGGAATAAAGAATGGCCACTCCATAGGCAGAGCGGTCCCAAGGGCTGCCGGCTGCCCGTTTTTATGGTTATTTCTTGATTAAACGCTAAACAGGGGTGGATTATTCATAAGCTTTCGGGAAAGGGGTGGGCAATTCCCAGAACTGAGGGTTCCTCCCCTTTTTAGAACATTTAGGGTAACTTCCATTGCCATGGCATCTGTAAACTGTCCTGGCGCTGGTGGGAGTGTGTTTTAGCATGTTAACACATTATAATTAGCATGTAACGAGCTGTGAGGACAACCAGGGGTCACTCCCATCACCATCTTGGCTTTGATGGGTTTCCAGGCTTCTTTATTTCCGCTGTTTGTTTGTTTTTGAGATGGTGTCTTGCTCTGTTGCCCAGGTCTCAGCTCACTGCAGCCTCCACCTCCTGGGCTCAAGTGATTCTCCTGCCTCAGCCTCCTGAGCGGCTGGGACTACAGGCATGCTTTACCACACCAGGCTAATTTTTGCATTTTTAGTTGAGATGGGGTTCACTATTTTGGCCAGGCTGGTCTCGAACTCCTGGCATCAGGTGATCCATCTGCCTTGGCCTCCCAAAGCGCTGGGATTATAGGCGTGAGCCACTGCGCCTGGGCCCGGCTTCTTTCAAGCAGCCTGTTTTGTCAGCAAGGTCTTTGGGACCTGTATCTTGTGCCAACCTCCTATTTCATCCTGCTGTGACTAACCATGCCCAGCCTCCTGGGAATGCAGCCCAGCAGGTCTCAGCCTCATGTTACCCAGATCCTGTTCAAGATGGAGTTGCTCTGGTTCAAATGCCTCTGACAGGCAGGTGTCCCCAACCCTCAACACCCCTGTGAGGCAGGCCTTACAGCGGCCTTGTGGCTGGCAAGGAAGTCAGGTCCTCAGCCCCCAGCAGAGTCATCTACACTGGGATTCTGCCATGGGCTTTGTCTACACTGATGGAAGAACTCCTGGAGGGACTCAGAGTGCAAATCGGGGTGGGGGTGGAATAACGGTGATTTTTCTTTTCTTCATGTTTTCCTGTATTTTCTACAGTGAGCATGTGTCATTTTCCGCGATTATTAACGTACTTCCTGAATGGTGACCATGTGCTCAGCACTCCGCTGCTTGCTTTAGACCCTAAAACTTGCTCCCAGCATCCCCATGGGGCATGAATGCCTACCATCTTCATTCTGTAGCTGAGGACACTGACGCACGGTGGAGAGGGGCCCAGAGTCACCAGTGGCCGGCTTCCAAAAAGCCTTACTCTTTAATGAGTTTTGCTTCAATCAGAAGAAAGGCAAAGCTATTTCCATTCCCCCAAAGAATAAAGGCCCCAAGTTCCCAAGAAAACGTCCCCGTCCCCTTCCCCCGGTACAAAGAAGGTTCCCAACCTCATGGTGACATCCCTGCTGGTGTCTTCCTCCCGGTGCGGTCTTCAGTGCCCCTGCTGGGGCTGGCAGTGGGCATGTGTGGAGGCTGATTTTTCTCTGACACCCTGTTGCAAGTGGAATGTCTGCCTGGAAATGTGGCCGCCCCTGCTACTCCTGTGAAAACAGCGCAGGCGCTCTGTCCCTTAGGCACTGCGGTTCCCTCCCCTCCACACAGCTGTCCGATGTGTCACTGGTTGAAAGTCACCGAGGCCTATCCCCTGGCGTTTCACACAGTAGGCAGCACGAAGATCTCACCTGCAGGCTCCAGGCAGCCATGACAGAGGTGGAGAAAGGACAGGGCAAAGGCGAAGGCTCCCGGCTGGGGTCTCTGTCCAGCCCTCACCTTGTCAAATGCTGCCCTGCTCTGCGGAAGCCCCAGACGGAGCAGGGCCAGCCCATCCCCTATGCACAGTTCAGAGGAGAAGGCCCAAATTCCACACCTTCACCAAGGATCTGGGCACAGCTTCAAGGCCGTCACCATCACCAGCTCAGCGAGGGCCCTCAGCAGAGACAGCCCTGGGGCCTCAGCCTTCCCTGTCCCTCCTGCTCACCCCCCGCCCAGCTCCAATGTCACCCCCTGGAAAATCTTTACACCCTCCCCGCGAACACACACGGGTGCCCCCGCTGGGCTTCAGTACTGGTCCACACCCTTCCACTACGCTTCAGCGTGGGGGTTCGCCAAGCACACAAAGCCACATTTCCCCCAGGTCAGCACTCCAGCTGAAGGGAGAGCCACCACGAACTGCTGGGAGTTCTCAGCTTTGTGCATTTTCGGCACCATTAACCTCCATGGGAGGATCCCAAAGTCCTAAGTGCCACTACAGCCCAGGAGGGTGGGATCCCCCACCCTGCCACAGCACCGGCCTCTCGCCGGCCCTCCTCCCTGAGAGGGCACCAGCTTCTGTGGGGCCTGACACGGACTCCCACGCCGGAGGCCGTCACCACATCCCAGGCGCAGGCTGGAGCCCTGGCCGCCAGCCTTGACTGTAGCTCATGGGAGCCGCCCCTTTCAAGGGCAGATAGATATGCCTGGAGAAAAGAGAAACTGGCCACAAACACACAAACCTCAGGCAGGTAGGAATCTTGGTGAGGGACGCAAGGCAACAGGACAGCCATCGGGAGATGCCAAAATGCCAGTGGGCTCGGGCTGTCTGGCACCCAGGCCCTGGGGAAAGGGGGGCCCAGCTGCCCCCTCTCTTCCTGCATCACTGGCCGAGTGTTGAGACCACATCTGGGGAGGCCTGGGGCACCGGAGGGCCAGCAGACTCGTCATCCATTCCTAAGCCCCCTCTGGCCTCTCCCTGGGCACAGGGAAAGCTGACGCCCCAGCGCAAGGGGCCCACACCTGGGCGTGTCTGGGGCCTCAGGGGTACTCCTGGGGCTTTTTCTTCAATCCAGCTTTAGTGCAAAGACAACTCAGGTATTAGTGTAGAAAGGTCTGTACACTCCCAAGGCACGTCTGATTTAGATGTGTTTATTACAATTCCAGTTGGGACGAGATGCTAACACGTGCTCCTTCCGGGTGCCAGGGTCTGCTCTGTGGTCTGCACAGGGATGGTCAGTGTCGCTTGGGTGCCACTTCCTTCTCACTGGAGACCACGGTCAGGCAGCCCTACAACACACAGCGGCGGCCTCAGGCACATGGCGGACGCGATGGCTTCACTTGCCTTAAGTGCAGACAACCATTTAAAAACTTTTGCTGGGGGTGCCAGTTTTTTTTTTGTTGTTTTTTTTTTAAAGATGGGGTTTCACCATGAAGGCCAGGCTGGTCTTGAACTCCTGACCTCAGGTGATCCACCCACCTCAGCCTCCCAAAGTGCTAGGATTACAGGCATGAGCCACCGCGCCTGGCCCTTTTTTGGTTTTCTTTTGAGACAGTGTCTCACTCCGTTGCCCAGGCTGGAGTGCAACGGCGTGATCTCGGCAAACTGCAACCTCCGCCTCCCAGGTTCAAGCGATTCTCCTGCCCCAGCCTCCCAAGTAGCTAAGACCACAAGCACATGCCACCATGCTCGGCTAATTGTATTTTGCGGTAGAGATGGGGTTTGGCCAGGCTGGTCTCGAACTCCTGATCTCAAGTGATCCTCCCAGCTTGGCCTCGCAAAGTGCTGAAATTACAGGCGTGAACCACCGCACCCAGCCAGGGGGGTGCTAATTTTAAGGCAGGCAAAAACCTGAAAAATGTTCTCCTTATTTACTTCATGATGTGGCAGGTGCTTAGTTCACATGTGTGGAAAATGCCTCAGGGAAGTTCTGTATTTGCCAGGCCTGAGGCATGAACGTCACAGGCTCTCTGGCTGCCCCACTGAAAAGCAGCACGGGGAGAATCGGCTTCGCTCTGTGCCATCAGATTCTCTCAAGAGCAGCTTTTTCCCAAAACATGAGAACCTGGGTTCCATCTCCAAGTGTGGACGCTGGGGCAGGTGCCCAGGGAGATGCATTTCCTTGCGTGGCTGGCTACGCACCCAGAGTCAGGGAGTTCACACCTAACCCTTAGTTCTCAGAGGAAAGGGAGCCATGGAAAAATGCCACTTAGAAATATTTGCCATCCAAGACTTACTTTTCTTTCTTTCTTTTTTTCTTTGAGATGTAGTCTCACTATCGCCCAGGCTGGGGTGTGGTGGTGCAGTCTCGGCTCACCGCAATCTCTGCCTTCCAGGTTCAAGTGATTCCCCTGCCTCAGGCTCCCACATATCTGGGATTACAGGCACACACCCCCACGCCTTGCTAATTTTTTATATTTAGTAGAGACAGTGTTTCACCAGGTTGGCCGGGATGGTCTTGATCTACTGACCTCATGATCTACCCACCTTGGCCTCCCAAAGTGCTGGGATTACAGGCGTGAGCCACCATGCCTGGCCTATTTTTCATACCTAAAGAAAGCTGGATTAGAATGGTAGTGGCCAAGCTCTGAATAAACCCCCTGAGAACACACAGGGTGCAAATTGGGATGGCCCACGAATCTGAGGAGACACTTTGCATGGGAAAAAGGCGTGTCTGCATTTAATGCTACTTCAGAAAGTCTCTCCAAAGGATTCCATTTCTTTCTTCTTTTTTTTTTTTTTTTTTTGAGCCACAGTCTTGCTCTGTTGCCCAGGCTGGAGTGCAGTGGCACAATCTCAGCTCACTGCAACCTCCGCCTCCCAGGTTCAAATAATTCTCCTGCCTCCCAAGTAGCTGGGACTACAGACATGCACCACCACGCCCGGATAATTTTGTATTTTTAGTTGAGACGGGGTTTCACCATGTTGACCAGGCTAGTCTCAAACTCCTGACCTCAGGTGATCTACCTGCCTCAGCCTCCCAAAGTGCCGGGATTACAGGCCTGAGACACCGAGCCCGGCCAGGATTCCATTTTCAAAGGGAATCTGCTTTCCCCATGCAGTGGGCAAAGGAGGCAAGAGGCTGGGAGGCAGAGCAAGGAGAGAGGCATGCATGGCTGCCGTGTGAGGAAGGTTCCACAAGATGCTGATTTCGGAGCTCTGCGTAAAGCGTTTTGTCATCAACACGGGAACCTGTTTGTGACTGCTGGAAGGCAGTCCTGTTTTGGATCAGAACAGTCTTCAAGCCAGCAAGAGCCCACATCCTGCGGACGTTCTCATTGGCTTGGCTGGCCTCACCTAGCACCGTGTGGCTCTCAAACTGTGTAAAACTGCTTGTAGGAGCCGTTGCAAACAGAAAAGTACCATGTTTTTACGTTGGTAGCAAATCGTTTCTTCTTTTCACACACACACACACACACATATATATTAGTTTTTAAAGCATCTTTACCCCTCTTCTGAAGAGTCTACAGAAGAAGCCTCTCTTTGGTCTGGAAACCGGGGTATGTGTGTCCTTTTTTAGATCTAATGACAAAGCTTCCTCACTTTCACTTTTGTTGATGTCTCTGAAACACCCAGATTCGATCATCTGCAAGCACAGAACAGGACAGGGAAGCCGCAGAGAGGCTTACAGTTCATCTGGTGTCCCTGGCGCCAGCAGCTGCTGCCCAGCCCCATGCGGGGACCCCTCTCCTGGGTTCCTCGTACCCTGCTTCCTGACCTCTTCTTGGAATAGTAACATTGTCTCCTCTCCCCTTGTCTCTGAGTGTACCCCCAAAGCAGGTAACTACCATGGAAACCCTGGCTGGCAACCGGCCCTGCTTAGGGAGCAGGGCTGAGGGGGGCAGACAAGCCCTGGTCAGACCCCAAATAGCTGCCTCCTGTGCACTTCTTGTCCCTGGGACCAGGGCAGTGGCTATGCTTCTGGACAGCTGCTGATACAGTCCCTGGCTTGCCCATGGCCTAGTCCCATGGTCAAAAGTCTCACACAACTGTTTTTTTCTTGAGACGAAGTCTCGCTCTGTTGCCCAAGCTGGAGTGCAGTGGCACGGTCTCAGCTCACTGCAACCTCTGCCTCCCTGGTTCAAGAGATTCTCCTGCCTCAGCCTCCTGAGTCACTGGGACTACAGGCATGCGCCACCACGCCCAGCTAATTTGCGTATTTTCAGTAGAGACGGGTTTCACTATGTTGGCCAGGCCGGTCTCAGACTCCTGACCTTGTGACCTGCCCACCTTGGCCTCCCAAAATGCTGGGATTATAGGCATGAGCCACCGCACTGGGCTGTCTTATACAATTTTACTTCCCAAATTCACATGCATGCGCACGCGCACACACACACACGCACGCGCACACACACGCACGCACGCACACGCGCACACACACACACACTTTTCCTTGGTCATTGCTGGAGCCAGCGGGAACCTGCGGTTCTAGGAGGGCAGTACCTCATTCTGCCAGGGGATGGAGACACACCCTGTGGCAAACTGAGCGTAGAACTCGTCGTCTGTGGCGTCCAGGCAGACCCCTTTCACCGTAGAGAACTGCTGGATCTCCAGGACGTCCTTGCAGTAAACGGCACGCGGCTGTGTAGCAGGAACAGAGGAAGCAGAGGAAGCGTCAGCCTCCGACTTACCACAGCGATCCTCAGCCCTCAGTTACAAAGAATGAAACGCCCACCAAACTGGGCGGAAATGCCGCCACTCCTCCTCTCTCCATGTCTTTGCCAGCGCCCCCCCACCACTTGAGGCATTTTCTAAATGGGAGTGTGTGTCCTCTGAAGAGGTGGTTCCCAAGCTTTTAGTGTCAGCAGTCCTGTGGCACTGCCTGTGCCAGGTCCCCGCGTGGCTCTGGCTCTCCACCCGCCCCCTTCTCTTTCTCACACACACACACAGACACACCCTCGTCCTGAGTGCCACGCCCTTCTGTTTTCCGAAGTGGAAAATGGATTGCAAACAAAGCCCAGGGATGCAGGACAGGATGGAGAACATGTATTGGAAGATGCAGCGGAGAACCGGAGGTGTGGACAGTGACGGAGGCTACCGTGGCGGGATCCCTTAGTGACAATTCTCACCCCTGCCTCCCACACTCTGTGTGCTCCTGGCAAAGCGCCGCAGAAAGCCTGAGGAACAGTGGCATTCCCACTTCCCGTCCTCCTCCGGGTTCACTGAGTGGCCTCCAAGGCTGCAAGGGGCCTCGGCCCTCTGCTCAGCTCCCTGGCTTGGCAGGCCCTTCCTCTGGGACAGGACCCCAGCTTGCAGCTCCTATCCTGGCACTGCTGTCTTCAGGGGCAAGGGGTCAGGCAGGCAGGAGGGCGCACCAAGGCCGGGCCCCTGCCTGCCTTCAGTACAGTCGCTTGTACTTTCAGGGCAAAGGAACAAAAAGGAGGAACTCGGCAGCTGTGGGACTCTCATCTGCTCACGCCGGGGCGCCCGCAGTTCTGAGGACACTTTCCGCCCAGGACTTGTGCACTACGGTGAGTTACAGCAAAGCAGTGACGTGCTGAAGGCCACGGTCAGCACTGCTCTTCATTCATTCACCCCCGCAAGGTGGGGAAGTGGAAGTGAACCGGCAGGCCCCGCCCCTAGGGGACAGTCCACAGAAAGGTGTCCCAGCAGCAACCTTATGAGGAGGCACAGCGACCACTTCAGGGTCCTCAGTATGGGGCCAGGCCACAGTCCCAGGACCTTATGAGAAGCAGACGAAGGAAGCAGGCCCTCACGGCTGTGGGAATCACAGGAACGAGAGGGAAAGCCAGCCCTGAGACCAGAAAGGGGACACTAGTGGTCAGGCACCGTGGCTCATGCCTGGAATCCCAGCATTTTGGGAAGTCAAGGCAGAAGGATCTCTTGGGGCCAGGAGTTCAAAAGCAGCCTGGGCAACATAGGGAGACCCCCATCTCTAGAAAAAAATTAAAAATTAGCTGAGTGGCGTGTGGTCGCAGCCACTTGGGGGGCTCCAGCAGCAGTGAGGTTGACGGTGACACCAGGCCAGGAGCCAGGGCCCAGTGAGTGGCCACAGGACACTGGGGTGGTGGGGGAGGGAAGAGCCCAGTAGGACAGGCACCATGAGCACAAGCCACATGCTGATGTAGCTGGTGATTTAATCCGTCGTAAAGCAAACAAAAAGCCGCTGCGGCCGGGTGCGGTGGCTCACGCGCATCATCTCAGCAGCGTGGGAGCCCAAGGCAGAGGACCACTTGAGGCCAGGAGTTCAAGACCAGCCTGAGCAACACAGTGAGACCCCCAACTCTATTTAAAAAAAAGAAAGAGAGGCCGGGTACGGTGGTCAAGCCTGTAATTCGGGTACTCTGGGAGGCCAAGGCGGGCCGATTGCCTGAACTCAGGAGTTTGAGACCAGCCTGTGAAACCCTGTCTCTACTGAAATACAAAAAATTAGCCAGGCGTGGCGGCATGCGCTTGTAGTCCCAGCTACTCAGGAGGCTGAGACAGGAGAACTACTTGAACCCGGAGGCAGAGGTTGCAGTGAGCCGAGATCCCGCCACTGTACTCCAGCCTGGGCGGCAGAGCGAGACTCTGTCTCAAAAAAAAAAGAAAGAAAGAAAGAGAAAAACCGTGCTGTACGGATCGCCGTTCCTGGGGCCCGCTCGTCCCGGCAACGCACTTACATCAGGACAGAAAGGGGGTTCCAGCATGTTTGCCTCCAGCCTGCTGAAGCTGATATCCTTGAACACGGGGTGCTGCTTCACCCCTGCTGCTCCCTCGCCCCTGCAGCCCAGACGCTTGCTTGGATTCTTGGTGAGTAACTGCAAGAGGCAGAGATGGAATCCACTTAAGCCTCCGGGATAAAAATGAAACCCCAAACTCCCCTCCATAATAGTAAGCAAAGGACTCGGGAGGGCAGAGAGCAGGCGCATCTAAACCAGTAATTTCAAAGCATCAACCAGACTTCACTCATCGAACTATGTTTTGCTTTGCAAAGGAGTAGGGCTACGGTGTTGCCTTTGAGCTACCAATAAATAAGGGGTGGCTGTGTTATTCCTTCGGTTAAAAACATTAATCATAAGCATTTGGGGATTTTTAAAAAGGAAACAGAAACTATTGCAAGTTTCAGAAATGCCACTAAGGACCTCAGATGAGGCAAACACTTAGCAAACCTAGTTCTAAAAATATAGTCTTAATATTTTGGTATTCTAGTATATTCTTAAAATTACCAGAAAGCACCTCTTTAGAAAGTATTCCTTACATACATATTTACAATCATCACAGAGTCAAATAAGCCTTCCTCCACAATTATTACCAATCGGAAAAAGCTGGGCTGTGCCCAAAAGCAAAACATGGAAGGCCTGGAGCCTGGCATGTAACCTAGAGCAGGGCTGGGGACCACAGCCCACCCGCCACATGCACCAGCTGCCTGGCTTCATCAAGGCTTTGTCGCACCGCCCTTTGGCACTGCAGCAGCTGAGCTGAATAGCTGTAAGAGAGACCTGCAAAGTCTAAACACCATTTGCCGTCTGGCCATACAGAAAAGTATGCTGACCCCTGGCCAAGCCAAAGTCCCAAAGACCAGAAAGCATTCCAGTCTGCGCCTCCGTCTCCCACCTCGCTCTCAGCTCCTTGCTGGGCTGTGCCGGCCCCATGTTGTGTCTACGAAGCTCTTTGCCTGGCTGAGTCCTGCTCAATTCTTCAGGTTTCAGCTTCCTGGCCCCCATCCCTGCGCTAGATTAGGCTCCCCAACTTTTTTTTCTACAGTCTAAGGCCATCCTCCCCCTCTCCTTGATGACAAGTCTCACAACTGCTGAGAATGAGTCATTTGGACGCGCCATTATTGCCAGGCTGTCCTGCTAGACTCAAAGCTTCCTGAAGCTGGGGGCTGTGTGACTCCTGCCCACTGTGGGACCCCAGCACCAAGCCACAGCAGATGCTCAGTAAGAGTTGCTCAGTGCATTTATTCTTTGCAAGCTTTATTAATTTAAAACACATCTGAAGGCCAGTTGCAGTGTCTCACGCCTGTAATCCCAGCACTTTGGGAGGCTGAGGCGGGTGGATCACCTGAGGTCAGGAGATGGAGACCGGCCTGGCCAACATGGTGAAACCCTGTCTCTACTAAAAATACAACAATTAGCTGGGTGTGGTGGCACGTGCCTGTAGTCCAAGCTGCTTGGGAGGCTGAGGCAGGAGAATCGCTTGAACCCAGGAGCAGATGCTACAGTAAGCTGAGATGGCGCCACTGCACTCCAGCCTGGGCCAGATCTGTTTCTTGAGACTCTGTCTCAAAGCAAAAACAAGATAAATAAATAAATAAAACAGATCTGAAAATCAGATGTAACGTAAATACATCAGGGATTCCATGGCCCACGGTTGAGCCTGCTGCCAGCATACACCACTCCCACTGAGGGCCGGGAGGGTCTGAAGGTGTGTGTCTCCCAGAAATCTGTAAGCTGAAACTTCATCCCCGGTGCAATAGTGTCGACAGGTGGGACCTTTCGGAGCCGATGAGGCCATGAAGGCTCTGCCCTCAAGAATGGGATTCGTGCCATCAGAAAAGAGGCCCCAGGGGGCTGGTTTGTCCTCTGCCCCGTGGGGGTGCAGTGACAAGGCTCTATCTTTATTATTATATTTTTGAAATACAGCCAATGTCTCGCGTTGTTACCCAGGCTCGTCTCGAGCTCCTTGGCTCCTCCCACTTCAGCCTCCCAGAGTGTTAGTATGATAGGTATGAGCCACCATGTCCAGCCAATGCTCCATCTTCGAAGCAGAGAGCAGCCCTCGCCAACACCAAATCTGCAGGCATCTTGATCTAGGACTTCCAGCCTCCTGACTGAGAAAATACTTTTCAGCTGTCTATGCACTACTCAGTCTAAGGGATTCTGTCATCGCAGCCTGAAGGGACTAAGGCAGGTGGCCTGACCAGGCAGCGCAGAGCAGAGGAGAGAGCTGGTCCAAACGCGGGGCTCAAGTCCAGCCGCGAGCATTTGCTGTGTGATGCCGTTATAACCCATAGTTTCTTAAGAACGATTCGCTTCTCCTCTTGGTAATTATTGAGAATTATTTGCTACTAAACATTTTACTTGTATTATTTCATTTAATCCTCCCAGCAATCCTACAAGGTAGAAGCTACTCTCGTGTACATTTCATAAATGAGAAGCGGAGGCTGGGAGGGATGAGCCTGCAGTGGCAGCTGACACGCACCCGGGCCCAGCTTCAAAGCCAGCACGTCCCACAGCAGGCCTCACTCAGATGCCTCCTTTCCCAGCGCCTCCGCCACCACGATTTCATCTGGAAAGCCCCGAGCCCTGGTTTCCAGCCGTTTATCACACCCACTGCATCCAGCTTCATGTTTCTTCCCTCCCCCAGCCACCAGAACAAGCATGCATTCTGCTCTCCACTGCAGCCACTTCTGTGCTTGCTTTAGGCCTCACGTTGAACTGTGGACTCCTGGGGCAGGCTCCGTTTCCAGTGCCTACGTATGCGCTCTTGCAGCCCTGCCAGTGTCCCGGGGGTAGGACAGTCAGCTCTAAGCAGAGGGAGCCATAAGCCTGTAGCGCCTGTGGCTTCATACATGGAAACGCATGAAAAGGACATCACAGTAACCCGTCTCCAGCCACTGCCAGCCCACGAAAGTTACCCAGGCACAGCTGCTAGGAATGCCCACGCCCAGGCAGGGGCCGCTGCCTGGCTGGTTGGTACTGTGGCTTCCCTTCTCCAATCTCGCCCTCCATGCCCACAGGGGCCCCCAGCTGCTCCCTCCCGGCTCACACCCCAGACTCTTGGCGAGCAAGCGCTCTGTCGACTCCACTCCAAGCAGCTTCCTCTCTGGGCGTCCTCTAGTCCTTCTCACTCTGGTCTGGAGGTGCCCGGAACCGTGGGCCATGCTCTGCCCACCCTGTCGAACCTGCCACGCCCTGTGCCCCTTTCCTCGTCCACTGGAACCAGCTTCTATCCCGCGGTCTGTCCTCTAGCGGCCTCTCTGCATGCAGCCCGGCTCCCCTGCCTCTCTAGCTGCTGGGCCAAACCACAGCTGGGGAAATGCAGCTCCCTGCGGGCTCCGAGCCTGTGCCATCTGGGTGTGGAGGAGCCCAGCACACAACCGCAGTCACTCTCCTCCCTTTAGGTCCACGTGGGCCCTCGATGCTGCTGAGGAAGCCCCTGCTTTCCAGGGCTTCAAAGCTCTGCTCCCCGCACACTCGCCTCCCACCTTCGCTGCCTGTTGGGCTGACCGTCTGAGAAAAGGAAGCGCCATAAGAGACCCTTCACAGCCCTGCTCACGCCTCCCCAGCTGTGCTGCGCTGGCCGGAGGAAGTGCCCACACACTCCCGCGCACCAGCTGGCTGCCGTGGACCTCCCTGCCGCTGCAAGGACTTGGCTCCAGCGAGTGCCCCCTTCCCTCCAGCCCATCTTGGAGTCAGCCTAAAGTCTTTTCCACCACCTGCCTTCAGGATGCATCCTGAATCTGACAGTGGTCATCTTCCATCGCTTCTCACACCTGCTGTGCCACCACCGAGGTCTGTGTCACCCGCACTCTCACCTGAATGGCTGCAAAGCCCCCAACAGCCTCCCTCCTTCCTGTCCATTAATTCTCTCCCAGCAGCCCAAGCCCAGCCCCTTCACATCAGTCTTCTCAGAGCCCTGCGATGGCTTCATGGCCACCAGGGGACGCAACACTCGAGGCTCGACAGCGACAGGTGACAGGTGGCTCGCACGGCCTGGGCTTCCTGCTCTGTCGGGTCCCCTTCTAATCCCTCCCGCTCTTGCCAGCCGCCTGACACTGTGGCCTTGCTGTTGCAGACAACCTCTGTCTGCTCTGCCCAGCAGACCGGCCCCCTCTCTTCCCCAGAGCCTGCCGCCCTCCAGGCAGTTCCCTGTCGTCCAGAGTGCGGGTACCCCACAGCCCACACGTCTATGCATGTGTTCTGTTTCCTGTCAATTCTTGCTGGGAGGGTGGGGACTTCTGTTTCACTTGCTGCTGTTTCCCAGTGCCCAGGACAGTGCCTGGAGCATACAAGATGCTCAATACACCCTTGTCGAGTGAAAGTAAATGAAAAAATGCTCAAAAAAACAATACTGGTTTAAACTAAGTAACAAAGAGACTTTCCCTCACTGAGTGTCTGGGCAGCCAGGGTGGAAACGCTGTCCAGTCCCAGAGGCAGATGGACCCTATGGCTCCCCGTTCATCCTGGGACCACGGGCCAGCTCTCCACAGCCTGGGGCTCGTCTCGTTGCTGTGACTAGTGGTACCAGTGTCAGCCTCAGCAGCCCTTAGCACAGTTAAGGTGCTGTCCGCCCAACACCAGGCCCAGAGCCAGGCACACATCAGGCCCTCAGATCAGTGTCTCTGGGACTAGAATCCCTGGCAGGCGGCTAAACCCTTACTGTCTCAAAATACATGAAAGATTAGTTTTATGTCTAACTTCATATAAAATTGGTCAATGAAACACAGCTCAGCTGTTTCCTGAAAACTGAATTAGTAGCCTTGGTACCACTCCTCCCTTTCAAAAGCATCGTTTGAGAAATTAAACCATGAATTTTACTCTGTTTTGCTCTAATTGAAACCCAATTAAGTAATTTCCAGATCATATCTGGAGACTTTTCTTGCCAGCCCTTTATGTCTGAACTGAGATGAAATCCCAGTGGCAGGAGCATGGGGAAGAAGGCAGGTAGAAATGAATGCTCCAGGGCATGGAAGTCCTCCCTGATGGGCCAGGAGGCAGGTAGATGTGAGTGTTCCAGGGCACGGGAGTCCTCCCTGATGGGCCAGGAGGCAGGTAGATGTGAGTGCTCCAGGGCACAGGAGTCCTCCCTGCTGGGCCAGGAGGCAGGTAGATGTGAGTGCTCCAGGGCACGGGAGTCCTCCCTGCTGGGCCAGGAGGCAGGTAGATGTGAGTNCAGGTAGATGTGAGTGCTCCAGGGCACGGGAGTCCTCCCTGCTGGGCCAGGAGGCAGGTAGATGTGAGTGCTCCAGGGCACGGGAGTCCTCCCTGATGGGCCAGGAGGCAGGTAGATGTGAGTGCTCCAGGGCACGGGAGTCCTCCCTGATGGGCCAGGAGGCAGGTAGATGTGAGTGTCCCAGGGCACGGGAGTCCTCCCTGCTGGGCCAGGAGGGAGGTGGACCTGAGCCTCCTGAACACGTGAGTCCTCCCAGCTGGGCCAGGAGGCAGGTCGACGTGAGTGCTCCTGAACACCCGAGTCCTCCCAGCTGGGTCAGGAGGGAGGTGGACCTGAGCCTTCTGAACACCCGTGTCCTCCCAGCTGGGCCAGGAGGCAAGTTGACGTGAGTGCTCCTGAGCACGCATGTCCTCCCTGTTGGGCTGCAGGGGCAGAGGCAGGGCCTGGGAGGTGGGTGGCCAGGGCTTGCTGAAGATGACAGAGCAACTCCTTCGGTTATTAACTGCCAGTGAAAACAACTAGAGTGAGTAAGAAGTGCAATTTCCCAGCCTCCGCAGAGCCTGACCTACCATCCTGCAGATAGACTTGGCATCTTCCGAAAACTTCTCGGAATACTCCTCAGTATCGTTCTTGATTCTTTGATCGACCTCCTCCCGTTTGACCTTCTCCTGGAATTTTCTGAATGGAGAATGTCCCTGAATCATCTCATAGATCAGACAGCCAAGTCCCCACCAATCGGGACTAAATGTATACTTTTCATTACTGACAACTTCAGGTGCTGTGTAACAAATACAGGAAATGTAAATTAAGTTAAATGTTGATTTTAAATTTTCTTGTAATTCCCAATAATGCAGTATACCTTCAATGTTTGTGACATGGACAAAACTTAAAAGCTTTACGTTAAGGCCGGGAGTGGTGGCTCATGCCTATAATCCCAGTACTTTGGGAGGCTCAGGCAGGCAGATGACCTGAGGTCAGGAGTTCGAGACCAGCCTGGCCAACATGGCGAAATCCCATCTCTACTAAAAATACAAAAATTAGCCAGTGTGGTGGCAGGCACCTGCAATCCCAGCTACTAAGGAGGCTGAGGCAGGATTGCTTGAGCCTGGGAGGTGGAGGTTGCAGTCAGCCAAGATCGTGCTACTGCACTCCAGCCTGGGCGACAGAGTGAGACTCCATCTCAAAAATAATGGTAAAACCAAAAACAAACCATTATGTTAGGTAAAACAAGCTAGACACAAAGAGCCCAATATTGTATAATTCGGCCGGGCGCGGTGGCACACGCCTGTAATCTAGCACTTTGCGAGGCCGAGGCAGTTGGATCACCCGAGGCAAGGTGTTCGAGACCAGCCTGGCCAACATGGCAAAACCCTGTATCTACTAAAAATACAAAAGTTAGCCGGGTGTGGTGGCGCACACCTATGAAGAACCACTTGAACCTGGGAGGCAGAGGTTGCAGTAAGCTGCAGCCACGCCTCTGCACTGCAGCCTGGGTGACAAAGCGAGACTCCGTCTCAAAAACAAAACAAAACAAAACCCAAAAAACAAAAAAACACAAATATTGCCAGGCGTGGAGACTCATGCCTGTAATCCCAGCACTTTGGGAGGCTGAGGCGGGCCGATCACCTGAGGTTAGGAGTTCAAAACCAGCCAGATCAACATGGTGAAACCTCGTCTCACCATAAAAATACAAAATTAGCCGGTTGTGATGGCAGACACCTGTAATTCCAGCTACTCAGAGGGCTGAGGCAGGAGAACTGCTTGAACCCAGGAGGCGGAGGTTGCAGTGAGCCAAAATCACGCCATTGCACTCTAGCCTGGGCAACAAGAGTGAAACGCCATCTCAAAAAAAACCCATGAGTATTGTATGATTCTATTTACATGAAACAGAATAGAGAACCCCACAAAGAAAGTAAATAAGGAGCTGTGAGAGCTGGGGATGGGAGGGACCGTCCACAGACACGAGGTTTCTTTGTTGGGGTGATAAAAACGCTCTGAAGTTAGACGGTGGTGACAGCTGCACAACTCTGTGAATATAATAAAATCAACTGTATTACACTCTTCAAACTGGTGACTTTTTGTGTTTAAGATGGGGTTTCACCATGTTGGTCAGGCTGGTCTTGAACTCCTGACCTCAGGTGATCCGCCTGCCTTGGCCTCCAAAGTGCTTGGATTACAAGCATGAGCCACCACACCCGGCCAAACTGGTGGCCTTTATATGAACTATATTCCAATAAAGCTGGCATTTGTAAACATTTGTATGATCCATCCAGGATGAGCTGACTGCCACACAGTAACATTCACAAGGGAAATGATGCTCTAGGGAAGCCTCCGCCTCCTGAAGGGGCTCCCTCCAGACACACAAAGCCAAGCCCAGAGCACCCCAAATGTTGTGTCTTGCCATCTATCCTCGGTCAGTGAAAAACCCCAGAAGCCACAACAGCAGAAAGCCACATGACCTCGGGGTCCTCCTGCAGGACCCTGCGAGGCCCTCAGAGGCCACCCTGGGGTTGGCTGGCACTGCCCCCAGAACTTTGGAATAACCAGAGCGGGGTGACTTCCTGAGGCTCCGAGAGGCCACTGTGCACAGAGGAGGACACTGGCAGAGTGTGGAGACCTGCAGCATCATCCCAATTCTGCCCTCACTTCGCTGAGTGACCTCAGGACTCGAAGCCTCTCTGGGCCTTGCCCCACATCTGTAAGAAGGCAAGGGCAGCCTAGAGGATCCCCAGCAGCCTCAATGCCCTGACAGGTTAGAGTCAAAACACCACCGTGCTGTCTACTAGAGTGTTCAGACCCAGGCCCCGGTCCATTCAGGTGGAACTTCTCTGCGTTCTGAGGCACTCGGGCACCCAGGTAGAAGGGACAGGGACGAACCCATGTAGCCGACCGTTCCAACTCTTCCTCGAACCATCTGCCCTTCTGGGATCTCCAGGGCCAAACCGAGGTCCGAAATCCGGATGTGTCCTGCGTGTTCAAATATGTCATTGCACATGTTTAAAGTGGTGCAGGGGAAGTAATGCCACTTTAACAACCATTAAAATGGAAAAAGGGCCCCCAAAAACCATGGATGGAAATAATAGCATTTCATACTCTGGAACACTAAATGTAAAACTACATTTAACGTTTTCATGATCAGTCAAATTCCATACAGTTTATTCAGTTTCACTAACAGCAGGAAAATTAGATTTTTGCCTGGCTATTGATGAGGACGCCCTTTGATCACAGATAAGCACTAGATCAGACAGAAGCACTGGATTTATTGTTTTATGTCATATAACTTCAGGTACATAAATAAAAATGTAATAAGTATTATGTCAACTATAAAACTGTAAACACTTTCTGTCAGAGTACCAGTACTATATATAGGGACAGCTACACATGAATGATAGGGAGTTTTCTTCTTGAGAACAAATGAAAACAGAGTCAGGGAAATAATAAAACTAAGGTACTTAGGGAACTATCTTATGTGTTTATGCCTTGTATGTGGGAGGATTTAAATATTTGTTGAATTCCTATGGAAATGACAAATTAGTCCAGACATGGTGGCTCACGGCTGTAATTCTCAACCTTTGGGAGGTCAAGGTGGGAGGATTGCTTGAGTACCAGATTTGGAGACCAGCCTGGGAAACATCTTTTTCAACAAAAAAAGATTTTTTTTTTTTGGTGGAGACAGAGTCTTGTCATATTTTGATGGCACATGCCTATGGTCCCAGCTACTCTGGAGGCTGAGGCAGGAGGATCGTTTGAGCCCAGAAGGTAGAGGCTGGGATGAATCACGATCATGACACTGCAGGGCAAGAGTGAGAACCTGTCTCAAAAAAAGTTATAAAGGATATAAGAAATTACAGAAAACATTCTGTGGAGTGTTTAGAAAGATAAGCCCATCCTGGAAGTGGGCACCATCTTCAACTTACTCACCACTTATGCTCAGCTTCTAACATAGCACACTGGTCCACAGTAGGCGCTCAATAAATATTTATCGGTGAAAAAAATGAATAACCAATAAATATTTGCTGAAACCTAAAAATATGCAACATGCCCTCCAAAGCACCGTAACCACTTTGAAACAGTCTACGTGATGCTTTAGACAGGAAAGCCAGCCTCTGACCCAGCTGCATGCATGTGAGGGACCACACCCTGCCCTTGCTGCGTGCCCACCCTGGGAAGCAGGAGAGCACAGGGGTGAGGGGTACAGAACCTGCAGCCAGGTGGCACGGGTCTCAGTCCAGCCTCTGCCATTTACTATCACGCCTCAGTTTCTTCCCCTTGTACAGATGCATTCTTTCAATAATGCAGATTTCTTCTTTTGTCTTTTGTGTGTGTGTGTGTGTGTAGAGACAGGGTTTCACTGTGTTGCCCAGGCTGGTTTTGAATTCCTGGGCTCAAGCAATCCTCCCACCCTGGCCTCCCAATGAGCTGGGATTACAGGCGTGAGCCACCATGCCTGGCCAGCTTTCATGTATTTTTCGTTTAGTAGAGTGCTAGCATGTTGTGACTTATTTTTTTGGTGTCATTGTCTTATTTTTCTTTTAAAAATGGCTTTTTAAACTGAGAAATGCAACTTAAAACTACATTGAAATACCAATTCCCAGCTAACAAACTGACAAAACTCCGAAGTTTGAGAACTGGGTCTGCTGGCGAGGCTGTGGGGAAATAGGTGCTCTGGGGCACTGCTGGTGGGAATGCAGACGGGACAACGCCCTGGAGGGGATCTGGCAATATCTGGCAAATTGCAGGATACAGTCAACAAAAAGGAAACAAGCCTCTCCATGGTGGCACGAACTGAAACGGCACAAGTGGAGACGACACGACCACCGGCGAGGACTGTTCCTCCGGGCAGGCTCACCTGCAGGAGGCAGTGGACGGACGGAAGCTCTCACGAGCAGTGCACAGCTGTCTCCTCCATGTAGTAGGTGAAGCAGCCAAGTGGAGAATAACACGTGTGTCTCCTAATTTATTTAAGAAAGCAGTGGGGAACAAATATACCCACACATGTGCCGTATATAAATGAAGGAATAAAATATGAGTTAAGATAATTACTTGGGGGTGGTCAAGGATGGAATCTAGGCATCTCTCAATACACTCTATTTTGTGGTTTTATCTTTGGAACCACATAAATGTTTTACATAATTATAAGATTAAGAAAAATAGATTGCTAAAAATTGAAAGCAAAAATGAAGAAAATGAACCTAATGGTGTATCCAGG